CCCAGTCAGTGGGCAGGGGGAAGTCACCTTTCCTTTAAAAAATTCCAGTCAATCTTTTTCAGCCATCCTCAAGTTTCCCTTCTAAGAACTGAACTATTTTTCTTTAGTTCTGAAATTTTAGAGATGATTTCTTAAATTATTCATTAACCCATTCAATAAAAATGTTCCTGAGAACCTCCCTCTGCATCCAGAATTGTGTCAGAAATTGAGGAAGATGCAAAGATCTAAATCCACCACAAAGTTTGGTACTACATGTATGTACTTTAACTTGAACAAAGAAAAAAAATCCAAACAAGACACCCGAGGTTGCAGTCTTCAGTGGAAAAAATATGACTAGTAATGCAATACCAGTGTACTTACAAATGTATGATTTGGGGCAGAGGGCAGGCTTAGAGACATTTAGCAGGCACGGGACTAGATGCAGTGGTCAGCAGGGTAGGTTTGGGTTGAAAGACAACAGGCCATAGAAAAAGCCATTAGAATGTTGATGCAGCAACTTCCAGCAGTAGCTGTTCACCTGGGAATAAGTAGCTCTGAACTTCAAGTCAAGCATTCCAGTAGCCCAAAACAAAGATCTAAGCATTAATCTGGCCTCCCTACAAAGACTGACAACATATAAGTAGGTGAAAGGGCACACAACTGCTTTGAAACTGCTAAGACAGCTAAATAAATAGTCTAAATATTAAAAAACAAAAGGCTGACACTGGCAGCAAGATAAGGTCAGACCCCCTGGCACGGCTGGCCTTTGGGAGTTCATCAATGCCACCACCCCTCAGCCCAATGTGGGATGGGGGCAGCAAAGCAGGAACAAATGACTAGAGTAAGCCGGGGTCCCTCAGGGGTCAATGTAAAACCCCAAGAGATGCCATGAGCTTCTTCTCACTTTACCACCTCCCTCTTCTTTAGGCAGCCCTAAGTAGAACTTGTAGGGATTCCTGTGTCATGTTCCCCTCTGTGGCCTCTGCCTGCAACCTCAGGGACAGCCTCTGCTTTCATAGTACTCACTGGCTTCCAGGAAGGTAACAGACCCACCCGTGAGGCGAGGACCCAGGATTTGTGGCAACTGAAGGTTCCAATTCCCTGTGGATTCATAGGCCAGAAAGCATAGTTGGCTACCTCCAGGGAGTGCCTCTTTCATCAAGTCACGATGCCTCTGGACGCTGCAGCTATGTCACTAGCTAAGAAATCCCAGTGGGGCTCAGGTCACACTCCCACTACATACATGTGGAGAAAGCAGGTCCAGGTGCTGGGGACATCAAATTTCCAAACATAGAAAAAACACACACGTGCACACACACTTGAGCCTCTAGGGGTAGCTCTCAGACTCCCTTGAAGAGTGATGACGCCAAGAAGCAATACAGTTGGGACCTCCAGAGCCCCTGTAAGCCCTTCCGAGGCTCCAGGAGGAAGGCTCAGCACCAACATCCAGCAGGGCTTGAAGCCATGCCAGGGCCTGTGGCACTCTCCCTCTCTGTGAACTCTCCCCTCTCTGTGAACTCTGCCTTCCTGCTGGGTGGTTTCTTGCCATTGCATTGGGGCCTTCAGCTCACTATTATGCTGAGCTGAATACCCTAGGCTCACTGAGAGGCCTCCTCCTCCGGGAAGCCTTCTCCAACCTGCGAATTCGTCATTAGCACATTTTAGTGAGCCTGTCTATCAATGAGGGCTATTCACTGGCTACTTACTCAATGCTGCTGAAACTTCAGGGAGCTAGAGTGCCAGTGTCTGAAAAAGACACAAAACATATCCATCATTAACACCATGTTCCCACATCCAGCTCCAACAACTGCTCCAACAGGTTCAGAGGGGACAGACAAAACCACCCAGAGGGAAAATTCAAGGAGCTGAGAAATGAGAAAGGTTCCCCCACACCCTATGACCCAAAGTTGTATGCTTTAACTAAATCTGGCCAACAGCCTTACCTCATAATACCTTAGAAAACATTCCAGGTCAACAAGTCACCCTGAACAGATCTTCAGATGAATGGATCTTAAAGACTGACAACTGACAGCCTGGTGCGGTGGCTCACACCTGTAATCCCAGCACTTTGGGAGGCAGAAGCAGGTGGATCACGAGGTCAAGAGATCGAGACCATTCTGGCCAACATGGTGAAACCCCCTCTCTACTAAAACCACAAAAATTAGCTGGGCGTCGTGGCTCACAGCTACTCGGAGGCTAAGGCAGGAGAATCACTTGAACCCGGGAGGCGAAGGTTGCAGTAAGCCGAGAACGCACGACTGCACTCCAGCCTGACGACAGAGGGAGACTCTGTCTCAAAAAAAAAAAAAAAAAAAAAAAAAGACTGACAACTGACCACGGGAAAAGTCAAAGGATTACTTACAGGGCATGACCAGATTGTCATTCTGGGTTGTAGACGGTAGGGGAAGGAGTAACTAGGGGAAAAAGGGAAGAGGCAGTTGTACACACATGCTTTATTTAACTTGAAAAGTTCAGGAAAGATAAGTATTTCCTCTCTTCTAAAAAGAAGCCAAGAGACTAGAGGAAAAACGGGACAGCCCCTGGCCCAAGCCCTGGCTCTGCTACTCACCACCCGCAACCCCAACTAGAGAAAGTCTTGGACACTCAGGGCCATAGAGTATCGCCGAAGGACCGCCAGGACCTTCCTGGTACCCTCGCAAAGTGGCCATCAGGATGGGAGACCACACTGACAACCTCTCGCAGGGAGGAGCACACTCTGGCTGGAGGTCACCTTGTGAAGTGTTCCCAAGCCACCTGGCTGGAGGGTCTCCATCGCTAGGGTGTTGACTGTTGGGGGAGGGGGAGTGACAGCGTCCAGTGCGCATCTGGGAGACAGGAGCTCGGGTTCAAGGACTGCGACAGTCTCCTCCGCGCCCTAGTCTCAGCCCCAGCAGAGGCCGGCACCCACCTCGGTCACAATGGTGGACAGATAGACGTCCCGGCTGAACTCCCAGCCATCCAGGCAGCTCTCCAGCTCCAGTTGCCCCAGGTCCACGTCGCGCCCCGGCTCCAGCCCGAGCGCCGAGAAGTTGGCGATGGTGGCGAGCCGGTAGCGGCGGCAGCTGTGGGGCACCTCGCGGCCGTCCCGCAGCCGCAGTGGGACACTGTGGTTGCGCCAGGCGCTGCTTAGGTTCGCGGCGTCCGGCACCCGGCAGCGGTGCTCCGGGGTCGCTATCAGGAACACGGAGGACAGGCCGGTGAAGCCATTAGGGATGATGCTGGCGCTGAGCAGGAAGAAGATGAGGCGCTGGAAAGGCCCCCACTCGCCCAGGAAGGCGGTCACCTCGTCGTAGTCCCGCATGCCGCCCTCAGAGGCCCACAGAGCGCGGCCTGGGATCGCGGGACGCGGAGGGCTTTGCGCGTGCGCGCGGGGCACCCGCAACCTACCGGGCGAGCCTGGCAGCGAGCTACCCAAGACCGTCCGCCGAGGGTAGGCTCGCGAGCTGACACTGCCGCCTTGGTCGCTTTGGTCCCGCCGCTGCCGGCCTTACATAGGGCGCGCGGCCGGGGAGGGTTCCGGGCCTGGGCCACAAGGCGCACCCCGCCGGCAGGCAGAGCGGGGCCGGCGAAGGCGGGGCTGGGGCGGGCCGCTAGGGCGGAGCTGGGGAGGGCCGCGAGGGCGCGGGGCGGGCCGGCAGCCGAGTGCACCTGAGGCACGGGCGGGGCCTGTCCTGGGGGCCTGGCGGCGGCCAGGCCTCCGCCAGCCAAGCCTGCTGGGGACTACCGAGGTAGCCCGGGCTCGGCTTAGGAAGGCAGCGGGACTAGCGGCCTTGGGGTCCGAGTCCGAACTCGCTCCTCCATGGGGGGACTGGGAGCGAGTGGGAGAGCGACCGCGAAGCTCCAGTGTTGAAAACGCGCCGCTCCCAACTTTTTGCGAGGCCTACTTGGGGGCGGGGGTGAGGAGGAAGTAACTGGGCTAGGGTCTCACAGATAGTTGCTCTTGACACCGCCTATCCTTATAAGAGGGACGGGGATTATTTTGAACCTGGGACTGTTAACTACCCTAGTAGAGAGGCTGGGAGCTATGACTTTTCATTCTAGTCCCGATGCCCTTTCCACATTTTCTTCTGTAACAAGCCATTTTGTTCATGCAGATGTAAAAATTTTACTTCACGATTAACGATCCTAGCCTAGGATTAAATATTCCCCACAGATTAGTTATTTCCTTGCAGAGTTTATTCGGAAGCTAACTGGGGGGGGAGGGGGTAAAAAAAAGCACTGAGGTGATTCTAAAGCAGCAATGTTCAATAGGATAAGGAGCTACATTTGTTATGTTAACTTTTCTCGTAGCCATATTAATAAAATTGCCAGATTTAGCAAATAAAAATATAGGACTCCTAGTTAAATTTGAATTTCAGATATAGAATGAATAATTTTTAAATATGTCCCATGCAGGAATATATAAAATAAAAATGTAACTGGTTGTCCTGTATTTTATCTGGCAATGCTCATATTTAAAAAGTAAAAATAAAAGATGAAATTAACTTTAATAGTATATTTAATCAAGTATATCCAGAACATGATCATTTCATCATATAATCAATATGGAAATTGTTGATATTTTACATTGTTGTATGTAAATCATTGATCTTTTTTTCCCTCCTCATACTAAATCTTAAGAATTCGGTGTATTTCACAGGTTCTCGGGATTTGGAAAAAAAAAAAAAGGAATCCAGTGTGTATTTTACAGCACATTTCAATTTGGACTAGCCACACTTTTTGCTTTTTAATATTTATTTATTCATTTATTTATTGGAGACATGGTCCCACTCTGTCACCCAGGCTAGAGTGCAATGGCACAATCATAGCTCACCACAGCCCTGAACTCGTAAGCTTAAGTGGGCCTCCTGCCTCAGCCTGCTGAGTAGCTAGGACTACAGGCACATGCCACCATGCCCAGCTAATTTTTTATTTGTTTGTATTTCTCAGAGACAAGTCATCCCTGTGTTGCCCAGGCTGGTCTCAGACTCCTGGATTCAAGCAATCCTCCCACCTCAGCCTCCCAAAATGCTGGATTACAGACGTGCGCCACTATGCCTGGCCAGACTCATTTTTTAAGTGCTCAGTAGCCACGTGTTGCTATTGGTTATCTTATTGGATAGCACCATTCCTAAGGCCTTCAAGAATTTGGGCTGCTAAACTTAACAATGCAAGATATTCCTTTTTAAAATAGTAGTGGCTTAGTGATAGAAACAGAACTAAGTGTATATTTTTACAATATAATGTGTTGGGTAAAGAATATTTAATAGTCACTATATTGTAAGTTGAAAATAAAGCTACAGAAAAGGAACCTAACCTTGCCCGCAGATTTTTAACAAGGAAATCTAAACATTTGCATAAAGCATAATAGACTTTAAAAATTATGATAAAGATGTTATCACAGGACTTATTTGTTTCTTTATACTTACTAGTCACTATTCTTGCTTCCTGAAGATGGATGGTTATACCTTCAGCAATGTACTTAAATCCTTCTAACATCTTATGTGAAGTTATAGTTCTCATCTAGAACTAACTGAAAAAGAAAGCAAAGCTTCTTGAAAATAAACTCCTTTTTTGTGTGCTAAAATATTGTTTTAATACTTCAAAAGAAACGAAAGCTTCTATGAGAAGAATGTTGACCTGTGTCCAGACCAAACAAGGTGAAGAAGTCTTATTTTAACATTTGAGAAGTATCAGTTGGGCATCAGATAACATTCCTGAAAGGGATTGAAAACAATGCAGTAGACTACAAAAGAAGCTGCACATCCTTAGGAAGAAAATAAACCGTTTGTCATGGATGGCTTGTCCACATGCGCAAAGTAGAGAGCAACCTAAGATGGCGCCATCCAGTTCCAGGTGCACTGTGATTCCTATCTGAATGCCATTACTATTTAAATTGCTTTTTTTTTTTTTTTTTTTTTGAGACAGGGTCTCCTTCTGTCACCCAGGCTGGAGTGCAGTGGGGCAATCTTGGCTCACTGCAACCTCCACCTCCCAGGCTCAAGCAATCCTCCCACCTCAGCCTTCCAAGTGGCTGGGACTACAGCCACACCCCACTACACCCAGCTAATTTTTTTTGTATTGTTGGTAGACATGGGATTTCGCCATTTTGGCCAAGCTGGTCTCAAACTCCTGACCTCAAGTGATCCCCACGCCTTGGCCTCCCAAAATACTGGGATTATAGGTATGAGCCACCATGCCCAGCCTTAAATTTCGTCTTTTAAAAGAGAAAGAGAGCTTAGAATCTGAATCAGTTACCCGAGGCCCTTTATCCTGCAAGATTCTGAATTAGGATCTTCCTATTTTACATGTTAAAAAATGCAAAACTGGTTTATATGGTAGAAAACCCTACAGTTCAGGGCTAGAACTTTAGATTAAATGCATTCATACCCTAGCAGATGTGGTAGCTTGCCTCCAAGATGGCACCCAATGAATGATCCCTGTACCAGGATTGGTCTATGTGACCAAAAGCATATAGCATTAGTGATGATACTTATATCACTTGGGTAATTACATTATAAAAGATGTCCATCATGGATGTTCTTTTTCTCTTTCTCTTGCTCAGAGTCAAGCAAGCTGTCATGTTATAAGCAGCCCTTTGAGGGGTCCATGTGATGTCAAGGAATGAAGTCTCCAGCCAGCATTTAATGAGAAACTGAGGCCCACCAACAATCTTGAGTGAACCTGGAAGTAGCTCCTTCAGCATCAGTTGGTTGTTGAGATGACTACTGGCAGGTTAACTGCAACTTCATGGGAGTCTTCTGGACCAGAACCACTCAGTTAAGTGACTCCCAGATTCCTGATCCTCAGAAACTCTGAGAAATAATGAATATTTGTTGTTTTAAAATGTTAAATTTTGAGGTATTGTATTATGTGGCAATAGATAACTAATATATAAATTATTTTAATCAAACAATATGTTAAATTAAAGCTCAGAAGAATAAACATCTGTAATTCCTTAATTTGTTTTCCCCTCTATTCTACAGAATAGAATTTTACAGATGAACCTTGTAATTACTTGTGCAATAAGAGACAGTATATTGTATTGGTTAAGTGCATAGCTCTGGATGTATGGTAGTAAAAAGACCAATATTCAATTGCTTTCTTCTTCAATTTCAAGCTTGTGAGCTTGAACAAATTTTAAAAGTGTTTTAAGCCTCAGTGTCCTGGGATGGTAGTGCTTAGCTCAAGCTCCTAGCATATATTAACTACAAACTAAATATTAGCTATAATTATTAGTTTTACTTTGATTATTGACTCCAGATAAATACCTTAAGAACTATATGTTCTCCACAGATTTGGATATATCTGGACGTTATGTAGGCTGGAATAGTCAGCAATTACTTGCCTGAGGAAGGGAAAGCCTCCAAAGAACAAACTCCTCCTTCAAGAAAAGAGTAGGCTGGGTGCAGTGGCTCATACTTGTAATCCCAGCATTTTGGCAGGCTGAGGAGGGCGGATCACCTAAGGTTAGGAGTTTGAGACCAGCCTAGGCAACATGGTGAAACCCTGTCTCTACTAAAAATACAAAAATTAGCCAGGTGTGGTGGCACACTCCTGTAGTCACAGCTACTTGGGAGGCTGAGGTGAGAGGATCACCTGAGCCTGGGAGGTGGAGGTTACAGTGAGCCAAGATCTGCACTGCACTCTAACCTGGGCAACAGAGTAAGACTCCGTCTCAAAAAAAAAAAAAAAAAAAAAAAAAAAGAGTAGAAGGCACAAGCTTAGTCCAATATTATAGCTTCAGCATCAGAGTAGAAAATGATTCAGAGGGTCTGTCTGGTGTCTGCTGTAGATCCCGCAAATCTGTGTTTGGATGCTTCTAGTAAGGATCATATGGCAGATGCACCTGACGGATGCACTTGGCAGCAATAACTTATGCATACCTGAAGAATGACCCTATGGTCTAAGAAGAATGTATGTTCAGAGCTCCCAGATAAGGAATCTGGGAGTGGCCAACCCAGAGATTTCATTTCTTATCTATGACAAACTTCTGAACTGCTCCCACCCCCAGCCCATCCTGTAGAATGCAGGCCCTACTAGGCGATCAAAGCCCTTTGTTTTAGGTAAAATGAAGGTTGCCTGGTAGAGGTTGCTAGGGGAAAGGTGTTAAGTAAAAGTGTTATATAAACTGCATGTCTCTTTGTTTGTTTTTGTTTTTTTGAGACAGAGTTTTTGCTGTTGTTGCCCGGGCTGGAGTGCAATGGTACAATCTCGGCTCACTGTAACCTCTGCCTCCCGGGTTCAAGTGATTCTCCTGCCTTAGCCTCCCAAGTGGCTGGGATTACGGGTGCCCACCACCAGGCCCGGCTAATTTTTTTGTATTTAGTAGAGACAGTGTTTCACCATGTTGGTCAGTCTGGTCTCAAACTCCTGACCTCAGGTGATCCACCCACCTCAGCTTCCCAAAATGCTGGGATTACAGGTATGAGCCACCATGCCTGGCGAACTGCATGCTTTTTACAAGGAGTTTTGGTTCTCCTGTCCAGCCCACTGCCGCTGGACTTCCCTGTACTGTAAGTCCTCTCAATAAACCTTATGTCTCAGTTTCTGATTCTAGGTCTCTTCAACCTCTTGAACATGGTGCCATCCCTACTGAAATCAATGGGGTCTGACATACAAGGGGAACTTGAACAAAGTCTGAAATAGCTATTTTTTTTTCTTGTCAAAATCCCTGTAAGACATTATTTGCCTTGGCCTCAGAACATTGAATTATGACCCAAGAGTGGAGAAACAGAGAAGTCTGTCTATGTCATCAATGTCATCAGACAACATCCCAAGTGGGATGTCATCACCCCAATGCATATTGGCATTGGGCACAGTAGAGCAGTGGCAGCCTAGCAAGACTTGGCACAATTCTGTTGGGTTGCACAGTAGAATGAGAAATCACATTTCTGCTGTTATGTGATTCTGCATTTTAACTCCAGTTTGTTTGGCCTGGACAGATAGGTAACTAGCCATGAAGACAATGGACCTTGAAACATTCTGAAGACTAGAAAAAGTATGTAATAAAATACTTTGAACAACTGTTTAAGGACTTAAATGTCCAGACTGTTTCTTTAGATGAGTGTAATTTCCAATGTGAAACCTCACCATTTGACTTCAAGAGGTACAGGACAGTTTTTGAATTTTGCAGAAAAAGTTGTGCATTGCAACAAACTTGACCATCCTATTTGCAATAGTAGAAATGTAAATTCATTCCCTTCAGAGATACCTGCAAAAATGAAATGTGAAATATGCTGCTTACATTTTAAAGACTGGTTATTGCATTCTAGACTAGATGGAAAGACATTAGTGAGGGCCAACATAGAAATATGAGTTTTCCCAAAAGAGTTTTGTGTATATATGGCAGGACAATTGGGTCACTAGTGGTTTTCACTTCTTCGTTCATTTGGCAAACATATGAATAGACTGATGTGTGCCAAACACTGTTCTGAGTTCTGGGAATTGAGGAAAGAAACAAGCTATCTGTTCTCATGGCGCTCACATTTTACTTGGAGGATGGAGAGGCTGACAATAAACTTGTACAAATAAATACAAATGTCAAGTAGTGGTAAGTGCCAAGGAGAAAGAAAAGAGAGTAATAGTATAGAATGACAGTCATTGGGTAGCTGCTTTAGATGAATGGTAAGTGAACATGTTTCTGAGAAGGTGATGTCTGAGCTGAGAGGCAAAGGGTAAGAAGGAATCTGTCATGTGAAGATCTGGGAAGCAGGTGTACTAAGCAGAAGAGCAGCAAGTACAAAGACTGTGAGGTAAGAGATGTGCTCAGGGTGACTAAGTAACAGAGGGAAGACCAGCGTGACTAGAACATAGTGATCAAAGTAAGTAGTTTTGGAACATAAGTCAGCGACATTGGCAGGAGGCCAGTTTTTATGGAAGCCAGATTGTCTAGTGCCTTGTAGATAGTGGCAAGGGGTTTGGATTTTATTCTAGGTGCATCATTACCAGAATATTTTCTTTTTTTCTTTTTCTTTTTCTTTCTTTTTTTCTTTTTTTCTTTTTTTTTTTTTTTTGAGACAGGGTCTCACTGTCACCCAGGCTGGAGTGCAGTGGCATGATCTTGACTCTCTGCAACCTCTGCCTCCTGGGCTCAAGTGATCCTCACACCTCAGCCTCCCCAGTAGCTGGGACTACACGCACCACACCTGGCTAATTTTTGTATTTTTTGTAGAGATGGGATTTTGCCATGTTGCCCAGGCTGGTCTTGAACTCTGCCCACTTTGGCCTCCCAAAGTGCTGGGATTATAGGCATGGGCCACCGTTCCTGGCCTATCAGAGTATTTTCAAGCAGAGGAAAGCATCAGGTCTTATTTCTAGCATAAAAGGAACATTCTGGCTACTATATAGAGAAGGAACTGTAGAGGACAAGAATGAAAGCAGGTTGACTGATTAGAAAGCATTGCAGCATTATAGGCAAGAGCTTATGATGGCCTGAAGTAGAGTGGTAACTATGGAAGAGATAAATGGATAAATTCAGAATATTTTTGGAAGAAAAAGGTGACATGATTTGCTATTGGATATGGGCATGAAGGAAGGAAATTAAGAATGATTCCTGAATTTTTAGCCTGAGCAATTTTGTAGCTTTTCATGTTTGTTTTTGAAATGGGGAGATTTGGTGGGGTGGGGGTTTGGGAAATTAAGAGCTTTTTATATTTATTTTATGCTTTTTAAAAACTGTGGTGAAATACACATAACATTAAATTTACCATTTTAACCACTCTTAAGTGCAGTAAGTACATTCACATTGTGCAACCATCACCATCCTCCGTCTGTAGAGAGCTCTTTTCATCTTGCAAAATTGAAACACTGTACCTACTAAACAATAACTCCCCACTCCCCTCCTTACCCTAGCCCCTGAAAACCATTCTATAATACAAAAGTCTCTATGAATTTGACTACTCTCTTAGAGTGGAATCACATAGTATTTGTCCTTTTGTGACTCGCTTTTATGTCACTTAGCATAATGTCTTCAAGGTTCATCCATGTTGTAGCATATGTCAGAATTTCCTTCCCTTTGAAGACTGAATAATATGCCATTATATGCGTATACTACATTTTGTTTACCCATTCATCCATTGATGGACACTTGGGTTGCTTCCATCTTTAGACTATTGTGACTAATGCTGCTGTGAATGTATATGTACAAGTATATATTTGAGTACTTGCTTTTAATTCTTTGGGTATATACCCAGAAGTGGAATTACTGGATAATGTGGTAATTGTATGTTTAATTTTTTTAAGGAATTGCCATACTGTTTTCCCCGGTAGCTGTACCGTTTCACATTCCCACCAACAGTGCACAACAGTTCCAGTTTCTCCACGTCCTCACCAATACTTGTTATTTTCTGTGGTTTTGTTGTTGTTGTTTTGTTTGTTTTTGTTTTTTTTAGAGAAACTATCCTAATGGGTATAAAGTGGTATTTCATTGTGATTTGATTTGCATTTCACTAATGATTAATTATGTTGAGCATCTTTTCATGTGCTTATTGGCAATTTATGTATTTTCTTTGGAGAAATGTCTACTCAAGTCTTTTGCCCATTTTGAAATCAGGTTTTTTGTTGTTGAATTGCAGGAGTTCTTTATATATTTGGGATCTGAACCACTTATCAGATATATGATTTGCAAATATTTTCTCCATTCCATGCCTTTTCACTATTGATTATATCCTTTTATACACAGAAGTTTTACATTTTTGATGTAGTCCAATTTTTATATTGTTTCTTTTGTTGCGTGTGCAAGAGTTTTATTTTGAATGCAATTTTGGGATATCTATTAGACACCAAGTCAAAATGTCAAATACACAGCTGGATATATGAGTCTGAAGGTCATAAAAGATATCAGAATGAGATATAAATTAAGGAATCATCCACATATAGATGGTATTTAAGGCCATGGGTCTGGACAGAATCACCCAGGAGAGAAGTCACATAGGAACACATAGGTTTCCCTAGGGAAT